AATATATATAAAGGACGCGCATGTCAACGTGCAAAATCTATCACCTTAGAGATTTCTAAGAACAATATACAGCATAAAATGCCATGCCGTTGTGTATATATTTTGATTTAGTGACTTCGACTTTTATTAATGATAAAAAGTTAATATGATTGATTTATTTGTGTAATCGAAGTACATGTCTATTTAACGACTGGAATCAACAAATAATGTTTTTTCTTGGTAAATATTTTTTATTTTGAAAACTGTTCTTAGAGATATCTCACTTCGCTATGCAAAATGCATATGGACACTTGAGAAATTGTTTTTCTCTACCCAGGCAGACAAACGTTAAAAAATAATGCGTTTAAACGAAGTAGTATCGTTTAAACGGCATTGTTATGCCATTATGAAACGCGTTAAAACACATAACCCATCTACAACGTGTCAAAACCTGTAATTTTTTCAAAATTTACGCGTTTTTCTGTTGTTGTCGCTATTCCTTTTACGAGTTTAAACGCGTGCACAAACCTAAAAATATTTTGATACGAGTCTATGTTAAATACAACTTGACTTATTTTTTTTCCTTTGAAACTAGGTTACTACTTGCATCTTCTGTACACTATAATTCACTTACTAAACAAAACTAAGCTTTTTTATGTTAGTATATTGTCTCATGAAAGTTAAAACATAAATAGGCAAATTTTAAGATAGGATGTTTCGTATCTATGAAGTATGCAACTAGGTATTGATATTTGAACTGATGTCCGCCTTGATGAGAACCTATTTATAAACTTTAACATGGAAAAAATATTTAGAACATACTTTTATAAGTTTTATTTTCCTCATATATGATAGATTCCATTTCATAGAGTCTTCATTGGTTTTTATTAACTCTAATTCATGGTATAATGTTTTTTCAAATTTATGTTCGAGTCTTATTTGCTTAATCTTTAAGCGCAATCTTTAATCTTATTGTTAAATGACGTTTTATATATTGAGCGTTATCAGAAAGAAATCTTTTCTTTTAAAATGCACTTCTGTTTCTGTACGTAACCAATAACTAATAAACAGGCTAGACATTAAAGTTAAGGACACTTCTTTATATCCTTTATGGCTAGTCATACTATGATAATATTTTTAATTTTTTGTATTAGTTAATGCTAACAACCAATCATTTGATGTTCACCGTTTTTTTCGCGAAACGCTACCTATTGTATTACTAGAAAACATGTAAAATAATATTTTTGTTCAGACAAAACAGGAGACATTATCAAACAGATAAGTAGGAAAGGTATTTAAGAAAACGTGTTCAAACGCGTTTATTTGCCCGATCTCTGCAGAGGGTCCACCACGCACTTCTACAACTCGTATACCCTTTAGACATTTTCACTACATTTTAAAATCCTATTCTAAATATTTTCATAAGCATCTTTACATCAGTTTGAGTAGATAACAAGAAGGTAGAAAAAAATCTATCTGGCAACTAGTATCTACCACATGAACATTTTCTTTTCTGTTTTTTCTCATTATTTCCTCAATCGATTTCTTTCATTCAAATTCTTTCTTTCTTGTGTTTATTCATTTTTTCATAGTTTTCTTTTATGCAGCAACTCATATTTCTTTCATTCGAGTAGCTTTATGATATTATTTCTGCTAGATAATCTATTACATGTATTATGCTGCAGAAATATCCTCATACGCATATGTTTTCATTTTATCCAGTCAAGATAGGATAAGCATAGCCATAGGAGAAAGATTCTTGCGTAAAGAAAAAGAAATAAGTTCAGTACATTAGTCAACCTTTTGTTAAATTATTTAGTCATACGAACAGTTGACTTAGCATCAACAACTATATCAAGTTTCCCTTTTTTTATTCACTCTCTTTCATAACAATCAGTTTTTTATGTTTTTTATTGTGGTCATAGATTCTTAGCTAGACAATAGTAGAATAAGAGAATAGTTGATAACTTCAAAGCATATCTTACATTAGAATAGAATATTGTTAGACGATAAAAAAATGAATGTTACGGAACTTGCGTATATTTCAGTTATTTATCCACATATAATTAATTCCAATTAAAATAAAGTAACTAAATTTTATAAGGTAGAAAGACAACTCAACACGTCGTGATCACTACCTTATAGTATCTGTTTTATTCAAAATATAAAACATGTAAAAACGCGTTTAAAATGTGAAACGAAAAATTTTTCGTAAAAACCGCACATTTAAACGCGTTATGAACGCATAGTACTATCTAACACCATAAAAACGTCGTTCGAAATAGCACAGCGTTACTAACGCGTTTGAATGTGCGATTTTAACGAATTGGAACGCCTTTGTTTTTGGGACCGTTTTTACGCGTTTTTTTACTAGTTTTGTCTGACTGGGTACTGAGAACAAGGATGGATGAGAATGTGATAGTAATGACAATATTTCAATTAGTCGTTTATAAATCAGTTGTTTTTCTTCGTATCAGAAACTCATCTTACTCCATGAAAAGCTTTTGAAACTTGTCAAAATGTGAAATGTTTTCACGTATATGTGGTGAAAACACTGTATTTATCTGGCCTTTCAAAGCTCAAAGTCACCCATCGGTCTTCAAAGCAGTCCTCGAAATTAGAATTTAGCACTACAATTAAGATCAGCATGACTAACAGAGTCGAATAATGAATGTTTCAATGAACGAAATTTTTTTGTTTCAAGGACATCTGCATTACTGTCTTGAGGAGAAATTCTAAACTGATGTTGTCCGTTTGTGTTCATGTTTTTTTTTAAGTAAGGCCGTGTGAAATTAGAAGAAGCTTCAAAAGATTTGTTTCACCAACGTTATGCCCATTACTCTAAAATTTTGACTTGAATCTTTTTGTCAGTAAATAGGTGTCATAGTCGCTAGACTGGTCTAAAATTTTCAGCCAATGAAGATGCTTTTCTCTTCAGATATGAAATGTTGAAGAAAAATCGACTTTGCTATCTTTGTCGTCAAATGCGATCGTGTTTTGAACAGTCAGTATCTAAGAAAGAAGCATTTGTTTTGACTGAAATTTTCAGAAGATTTTAGCAACTATAGTATCTATTTGTTGGCAAAATTCTATTTCCGAATTTTTCCCTTTGATTTTTTTATTAACAATTCAATAGAGGTCAAAATTTCGGTAAAACAGGCATACATTGATGAGACAAATGTTTTGAATTATCTTTCAATTTCACCGAGTGTTACTTATGGAAAAAATATGAACACGAAAAGACGATATCAGTTTGAAATTTCACGCCAGGAGAGCAAATAGGTGTTCTTTGAACAAAAGATGCTGTTGGCCGAAACATTCGTCACTCGATTTAGTTATTAATGTTGATCTTCAGTATAGTGTCGAATTCAAATTTCAAGCACTATTATGAAGACGAATGAACAATTTTGATCGTCAAGCAAAAAGAAAAAGAATGTTTTGTAACACATAAATGTGAAGAATTTCACGTTTTGACAATTTTCCAATATTTTTCATGAAATAATATTAGTTTTTGATATAGAGAAAAACAACCGAATTATAAATCACTAATTGGAGAACTGTCAGTATTATCACATTCTCATTCATCCCTGATCTAAGTTAAGGAAAGAAATTTCTTAATTGTTGATATGCATTCTCCAGAGTGAAGAAAGATAACGTTTAGCAGTGTTCAATGTCAAAAATATTCATCGTAATAAACATATTGTTAGTTCATTCCAGTAGTTAAATATACATCTACCTTGAATATATAAACAAATTAATTGTATTGACTTGTCGTCATTGATAAAAACTGAAGTCACTAAACGGAAACAAATTCAATGAAATGGCTTTTTATAGTGTTTTTTTTTTAATCTCCAGAAAGATGGAAATGATAGATTTCCAAATATATTGCGTAGGGATCATTGTATCATAAAATGGCATTCTGTAAATAAATAATTCATGTTACCATACCTAAATTTCATAAATTGTTTGATTCTTCTTATGGTACATTTGATGATAAATGTTCATTTTCAATAGTTTCATGCAACGTATAATCCATTTTACCAATAGATATTGTATTCGCTTTGAACTAAGACAATGAAATGCAAGATCAAAATCTGCTTATTTTAATGCATAAAATTCTTTAAGAAGAATATTTTTTAATTTCTGATGTCTATGTATAATTTTTTTAATGATAAAAAATAATAAAGTTTATTAAATATTTATTAAACAAATATTAGTATTCAATTGTTAGTAAAATGCTGGTAAATTTTAAAATATGATAAAGTTAATGTATCGTTAAATGCATATTTAATGATATAAATAAATACGATTTAAGTTATAGGAAAAAAGAACAAAACACATACATGTGTAAGGTATATATTTCTGAAATGTAAACGCATAAGAATTTTAAGTTCATGGTTTAATTGGTTTTTTTGATCGTATTGTCGAATGATTGATTTCTATAAAATTCATTATAGAAATTTTATAAAATTCTTAAAAATAAATAAACCTGAAACACTTCCAAAATACAAAGACAATTAATTTTATCTTTTACGTTCGACGAGTAGTATTATAAATGAATAATTATCTTTGCCTAATCGATGAACAATATTAAAATCATCTCGAAATCATTAAAGATGTACGTTTTTTGTTTATATGATGATCTTACAGTATTCCATAGAAGCATCGCATCATGCTGATGTAGAAGTAGGCTCAGATGTTGACCCATAAGTTTTTTTTATTTTTCTAAATATGAATATTAACATGCTCATTTTCAAAATGATAACAAAAAAGTCATCATCTATCATGCATGAAGAGCACGAATTTCTTTGCGTGTCATATTGAATATTGTTTTTCATATACAAAAAAAAAAACATTCATATCATTACATGGTATCTATACAGACAAATAAGCGATGTCGAGAAAAGATAAGAAAATGGAAATAACAACATCAATAACAAAATGAATATAGATATGCAAAAAAAAAAGAGGAGCGAAAATGTCAATCAGGGCAAAAGAACGAAAAAAAAAATGCACTGCAATCAAAATAGGATGGGTTTATTGCGTGTTTGTTCAACTACATAAGATGTAAAACGTTTAAGAAAACGAGGATATTCACGTTTTGCCACACTAAAATTATGAAAAACAAGATTCAAATGATAATAATTAGGATATATAAACTTACCCTCTTAATGCTGCACTGGGCACCCAACCACCAGGATTGACTAAAATAAGAATAATTAGTGAAAAATCTAGTTTAGCGTTAGAAAAATGCAAATCTTCTCTTCAAACAAGGAGTAAACTGTTGACTGTTTACAAAAAGAAAATAGTAGCCATGATTACTATTGTTACTATTGGAAGACAAAATGAGTAAAGAAGTGACTACTATAGGAGTCACTGACCGTTTTTTGAACAACAAAATATATTATGTGTTAACAACAAGAATTAGTCGTTTATATAATAAAGTATATTCATTGTATTGATAAACATTGAGTGTAGCTAGTTTGATTATAACTAGACATCGGCGTGATCGCCGTGACTGCCGTGATTCAGGTCACGGTCATCACCGTGTACTGTGACCAATTTTTGATAAAAAAATAATGACCGTGACCAGAATCTGGTCACAGCGAGTCATGCAGCCATAAAACGGCTATTTTATAAGTTAAATCAGAATTAAATATTTCACGTTTATCCTTTCACCATGTATCAACAACTTTTTTCAATTGTACTAATTCAAAACAAAGAAATATAATCAATACAAAATACACTCACAATAGCAGTAATATATAGATATATATATATATATGTCAGGCAAAGTTGAGACTTAGGTAAAATTTAACAGAACTTGTAAACGATTTAAAAATTAAAAATTCGGACAAGATGAAAACAAAAAACTGGTCTGATATATTGTTCTTAAGTTAATGATTATTACTTAATTGAAATACAGTTGAGTTTAAGAATATATAGAGTTCGTCAGCGTTCTCAATTGAAATCTAGATGAGATTATTAAGTTGTTCTGACCAAAAAACCGGGACGGATGTTCACGATTATGTTTATCTGAGTATTTTTTCTCATCTAAGCTTATTAGTCTTTAGATTGTTCCGACCAACAAAAAAGAATGGTTAAGGGTTAGATATCGGCATGACCACCGTGATTGCCGTGACCAAAAATTATTGGTCACGCCAATGTCTAATTATAACCCATTGTCTTCCTTTTCCTATCTAGTTTTGAAATTTTTTTCGAAAAAATAATTCTGTCCTGTAAAGGTTAATTTAGATTTTTGTGATTAAACAAAGTAAAATCGAAAGCATCTTGTGATCTTTTCTATTTGATATTATTATAAAAACCAGAGTAAATATTTTGTGCAGCACGATCTAAAAGATGTGTTGAAGGGTATAGGAGTAGAAATTTGCTACTCCTCACAGTTCATTACAGACATATTAAAAACGACTCATCATCGACATCTTACGAGAAAGCGTTTTTAAGTGTCAAATTGCTGTCAAATCGGAACGATGCGTATCATATAGATTCTGATGAGCTATCAATACTCTGAAACGAACTCGGTCTAATAGGTTATTACTGCACAAATATTCTATTATTTTAGCAGACGACAGTGTTACTTCTCGGAAACATAAGAAAAACTGAATTTCGAATTTAGACTTGAAAAACTTGCATCGAGACAGAACTTAATGAGAATAGCTAATTACGAAACTTTAAGATTTTTTGATTGCGTCTTTTATGAAATAAAAGCAGGAGATTTTCCTGTTTGTATATGAGTGACAAGAAAAACATGTTTTTACCATAACCATATCTTAAGATAGAAGCAATCAATAGATCTGAGACTTTTACAATAAATTATTCTCATGCCGTATATGATATACGTAGCCTGAGCTCAAAAGTAATTTGTTATTTAGAAATGATTCTTTATTATTAACAATACATCATAGGCCAGGAAAGACGTTGTTAATATACAATCAAAAACCGTATATGAATAACATCTTGTTATATCATATGAACTACTCTCTTATGGTATTTCTGAAGAATTAAGTAAACGAATGATTGAATAAATATGTCTCAAAATAGATAGAATATAACAATCTTCTTCTAAATAGCAATAGCAACTACATCGTGTTTCACATTTTAATCCCGCAGGAATAGCGTTAACAGGTTTTTTTCTATCGCTGTAAATGATTGTTTAAGGCAGTTTTGTTTGACGTGAGATATTTTTTGTCAATAGAATTCAGGAAGGAAAAGCGTTGGAAGGTTCTATTGTTTGAGTATGATAATAGCTTGAAGGAAAACAATTCTGAAAGTGTAATATGTTCCATTCTTATTCATAATAAATGGTCTGATAAACTACTTTGTTCTATTATCAAGTACTTTTGACTGAATTCAATAAGTTGATTTTCATTATTTTTTTTTTTTTTACAAAAGATTCATTTTAATTATTTCATTAATTTCATTTAATAATAATTTTCCATTTGAAATCTCGGTATCTTAGAAATTATTTGCTATTTCCTTTGTTTCAACAAAAAACAACTTTTTTCATACCAAAAGCAACATAAGTAAGTTTGCATTGAATATTTTCACGTTTAATATCTTGTGGATTTAATGGTGGTTCACATATAATTGTTTCACATATTAAAGCAACATTAGCAACGAGACGAACTTGAGGTGATTTGATCTATAAAGAAAATTTTTGTGAAATAAAACAAAAAATAAATAAATAAATAAATGAAAATTTTCTTGTACCGGTGCAAGTGGATGCGATGTAGTGTAATTAACTACAAGCCATGTTGGTTGATCTTCATCTGAATTCGATAAACATCGAATATGAGACCAAAAACATGAGTCACGTTGTGCAGCTGGCCATACGCGTTTATGTACTTGAAAATATATCACTGTATCTGGATCTAATACTTCAATTATTTTTGTTGAATCAAGTGTTGCTTAAAAAGAAATACAAATTACAAATAAAATAAAATTCACATGACTAACTTACTTTCCCATTCCATTCGATATTGGTATTCATAAAAATAATGACAAAGTTCATGACCGGTAACACCCTACGCAAAAAAATAATGAACATGAGTCCAAACATTCGTTAGCGATGTGACTTCATAAAATTAAAACACGTGTATCTCGAGATAGTGAACTTTACAAAAGCTAATTTCTATACGTTAAGTTACTTTAGACACTTTGAAAAAATCAGCACTAGAGCTTTTGTTGAGAGAAATTATCTGTAAACAAAGCTAGCATAAGCAACATAACATAAATAAGAATATCGACTTTTATTTCATGAAATTTTGTTTAAAAATAAACTGCAAATTGAGACAGTAGTTTTGAAAGCTGTATAGTAAATTCTGTAGATAAAGCTTGAGACTATAATAAAATCTCTATTCAAAATTTTTTCTGAGCATACATAGATGTTTTTAAAAAATCGATTTAATTTTCGTTAGGGCTATGACAGAGTTCGAAAAAATGCTGTTATTATCGAATGAGAAGCCCAAAACTAATTTCCAAACGATACAAATCCTTCTTCAGATTCTCTAGAGAATCAGTTTTTAAGAGGAACTTATTATAAGTTTGATCTTGCTGAAAATTTTACCATAGATGTACTTTGTACTGTAAAGATAATCCTGAAGTTTTTGGATTATTTTCTTCCATGATTAGAGAAATATTCGCTAATTACTTTTTCAGCTGAAAGAGTAAACATTTTTACATATGTTAATGCTGAAAGAATATTTGCAGAAAAATTACTCTCGTAAAAATCAAAATACAATGAAAGGGAATTTTATCCCGTTTTGTCTAAAATGGCTCATATCTTCTTACTTTGATCGTATGAAAACATTTAAGTGGATCAACAACAACTCCATTTTCTTCAACTTCACGTCGATAAACTTTCATTTCACCGTCTTGATGTATTAAATCCCAACCATGTGATACATCTTCACGAACATATTTTAAATGTTCTTGAACAGTACGTTCAACCTAATAGATTCATAGTGAGTTAAAATAAAAAACAAAATGAATTTTAAAATAAAACTTACGTCATCAGATAATCGATGTTTAGCTTTGTTTACTAAATTATCATTGTTTAATGTTGATGTAATCGTTGTGTCAGTAGCTGTTATTGGAGCATTTTTAGATGAAGATTTTAATCTATTTACTGTTGAATTGGTTGAGGATTTTGATCGAGATGATAATTTCGACTGAAAATACAAGATAATACTTAGTATTCGAAATGTCAAATTTATTCAGACCTCATTCGATGGTAAAGAACTATGTTCATTTTTGAATGAATTCTTTTCTAAAATTTTATTCGCGAATGATGATGATGACGATGTTTCAAGGTGATCATCATTTATCTTATGAATATTGATAGATGGTATGTGAGATGATAACAAAGGTGATGCAGTCGATAGCAAGGGATATTTATTTTGTTGATAATACGGTCGTAAACCACCGACGTAATTTGATAATGATGATGAGCAGGATGAAATAAGTGGAGTCAGTGAAATAATGGTACTCGATTTTGCATAATCTGACTTGAATGAATATGATTCCGGTATATGAAAAGTCTTTTTTATCGGTTGCATTGTTATTGTTTACCTTGAATGCTGTTTTTCTCTTATCGTTATTATATACGTTCGTAAAAATATCTTTAGCAGCTCTAATACACTTATCGTAGTTTTTTGTTATTGTTTATAGATGTTCTTTTTTTTTTTTTTTCTTTCTTTCTATTCTACACTAGCAATACATCTGGTTAGTATTCATTCATTATGACAAAAACGACCCAACATACATTATCCTTTTAAAAATGATATAATGATAATGATTGAAGATCAAGAAAAGAAAAGCGTATAGCATATTATTATAAAAGCCCTTATATATATATATATGGTTAATTCATCATTGAGTATAAGTTGATAAAGTAATGAAAAAGAACAGAACACTTTTGTCATCATTTGTCTCTTTTTTTAATACTCCTACATATTTATACAAATATTATCGTTATTTTTGTTACTCATTGTTAGTTTTATGCATATAAGCCAAAAAAACATAATGAAAAAGAAAAAAATATCAACACTTACTGAAAATTGATATTTATCATTTTCACGATCGATTCGATCAAGAGATTGATCGAGTGCATCGAAAAATTCTTCTTCTTTTAATGTACTATGTGGTCCTTCCTGTAAAATAAAGAAAAAAAAAAGGTAATCAAGAATTTTTTGTATTTCAATACATTTATTTACTTCCGCATCTGGTGAACCAAATGCAGGAATTTTTTGTTTATTCATTTTAGTATATAAATCTTGAAATTTTTTGCGACGTTCCAATTCCTAAGAACAAAAAAACAACACAAAACTTTACAATAAAAACTGGACTTTTCAATTACTTTTTCATATTTTTTTCTCCAAATATCTTCTCGTTTTTGCATTAATTCAATACAAAATGCTACATTATGTATAACACCATCTGTTGTTGCTTTAAATGTTAAAGCTAAATAAAATCAAAACACTGAATAAAACAACAATCACAAACAAATAAAACAAAACCTTCTCCTTTAAAATCAATAGCCATAGCTGCATGATCATTAAGTGCCAATCGATCAATTTCTAATAAGATAATAATTATTCAAATCTTTCTTTTTCTTTGAAATAAAAAAGAAGACAAACTTGGTTTTATAGATGAATTTTTGATTGTATCATTATTTGATATTAATTTTGAATCATGTTTATCTAATGATTCTTCAAAATCTAAATCAGTTGCATTTTCATCTATTGACAAAAAGAAAACAAGAAAAATATTAACAAATCTTTTTCTTTTTTTTTTAATTTATAAAAACAAATTAACTAACATTCTTTTTGATATGGTTCAAATCCTTTTGTTACTGCATTAGCACATGCATCAAAATAAGTTTGTAATGTTGCAACTTGTTGTACGAGTAATTCTCGAAAGGTTTCTAATTCACTTAATTTTTCTTTTAAACTACGATCTTTCTATATGAGAAATAAATTTTTAGTAATTGGTTTTTTTATTTTCTACTCTTAATTTACTTTAAATGAGCCAGTTGAAGCAACACTGGCACTCGCTGTTGATGCTAATGAGCCAAGACTTGGATGACGTCTTAAACTTGTTTCACTTCCATAACCGGATTCACTTTTACACATTTGTTTATGATCTTCTAATGCTTGTATCCATTGTTCACGATCACCAGGACTATGAGCACGTAAATACCATACAGAATCACCAACACGTATATCAAAACGACATTCATCAAATTCATGAGACTATAAAGAGAAAAAAATTTTCTTGTTTAACATAATAAACACATTGTTATACTAACAAGAGAAGTACACAAACTAATATTTGTCGTTTGAGCTCATATTGAATTCACAAGAAAAAGACTAGAAAAGTCCTAAAAGCGTTCTTTTCCATGCGCCTACGAAACCTTATTTAGCATCAGTTGAGTTATGACAGTTTAACTAAAAATTCGATCCAGCTTTAGGTAATCAGAAAACCAATTAATGGTATTCTGATCTGAAATTTTGCCTATAAGATAACTCTAAAAATATCATTGAAAGATTCAACCGAAAAGAATGCTTCTTTGTCGGGACACTGAATTTTCAAAAAAAATGGTTGTTTGCCATAAAAATCGACTTGAGTTGAAAATTCAATATCTCGATAAAGGAACGTTTTTTTCGGCTGAAACTTTCACGATATAGGTAGAACCATCTCATAGGTAAAATAGCAGGTCGAAATTTCGTTGTTTGATTTCCTGGTAAATACCAAAAGCTAGATTTAAAACTCAGTAAAACGGTCATCACTCGTCTTGAAAGGTTTCCAGACACATACTTTTTTAAGATTTTTCTAGGCTTCTTCTTGCGTACCCTATATGAGTTCAAACGGTGAATAGTTCTCTTATAAGAATTCAGTTTAAAGTTCATATGATATCTCTTATTTTTTCTTATCATAAAAATGAACATTATAAAGAAACCTAATTTTCTCCATGCTTGTTATCATATCAGATGTTATCTTTATTACTCAAGATGGTTCTCTTCTAAAATAAATGTTTGTTGTATTTGTACCTGAATAAGAGCTTGTTTAACAGAAAGAGCGCCTCGACAACCAACACCAATATCATATTCATTTTTATAATAATTTAAAAATCCATTTTTTAATATAACATATCTTTCTTGCCATCCATGTAAATAATTAGTCCATTTAAAAACTCGTCCTTGAAAATCTCCATTTCGAAATGAACCACTTGCTGTTTTTTCATCATCAAAAGATTCTTCGTCGTCTGATGTTGTTGGATATTCAAGAACTGTTGCCATTCAATTATTATTCTTTACTACATATGAAATAGATAAACGAACTTAAAGAAAAAGAAAAATTTAAATGAAAAAAAAACAAGTTGAATAAAATAAAAAAAAAAGGAGAAAAAGAAAAAAAGAAGAAACAAATATCCAAAGAAATGATAAGAAAAACTATGGATCCAATGCTATTATAATTGGTTCACTAGAATGACGAATAAGAATGTGAGGAATAACATTATCCTTCTGCGTATCACTACTTTGTTTTTATTAGAATAAGTTATTTCAGATATTTATCAACTAATCTAAATCGATGAATTTCTTTAATTATCAGTATCTCAATCGAAAACATCTGCAAGGTCTTAATGAATATAAAGTAAAATAAATAAAATTAATTTTATTAAGTTTTTCTTTTTAATAAATATTATCATTTTAGTATAATGCTATTGATACGTCTCCTCTATCGAATTATATCATGCAACCTTTTTGGAATTGGGGTGTTGAGGTAAAGTAAATCTTAAAATTTACAATAATATTTATTTTACTAAGTAATTATGTACTATCAATTTATTTTCTTTTTCATTCAAATTAATCATTCAGATTCTATTGATAGGCTCTTAGAGTTATTTATTAAAGTATTGAAAGGGAAACATGCTTACATGTTTCAGTCTTTTTTACTCTATCTATTGACGATAAGTAGACTTCGATGAAATGTGAAGAATCTGAAAAAGATTAGTTTCCATAAAACTTCCTACTCAAGTTACGGCTTGTTTTCATTGCGCTTGTGACTTGACAGTATTTTATTCAGCGTAATGGTCGAGAAGATGGCGCCCTTCAGAAGGTCGTGTGAGCCTTTCTGATTTGTGTGATTATTTTAATAGGCAATGTTCCTGTGCTTCTCAAAACAGGTGTTTGATATCCCAAAGTTTCAAATCGCTTCTCTAAAAGAGAGAACATAGATAAAACGATGTGAATCACTATATAGTATTTCGGAAAAAACTTTGGAATCATTCAAAAGTTACAGTTTAAACTGATATTTTCGTTGTGAAAATAAATTACAATGTTATTAAGAAATCAAAAAGAAAAGTGAATTGTCTTGAAAACTACTCATCTCAATATGAAAGCATTCGTTTTGACTGAAAATTTTCACATATTCTAATGACTCAAAAGTCTACCTATGAGTGAAATATCTTTCAGCAGATCATAAGCTCAAAAATAACAACGATAAGTCGAGAAAGAAAAATTAAAAGAATCATCTGTTTTCAGATTCTTCTTACATCATCATAGTCTACTTATTGTCAAAAGATGGATTAAAGAAAGCATAAACGTCTAAGTATGTTGACTCATAAGAAGATAAAAATCATTAGCTGCTACTTACGAAGGAACCTTTTCAGATGCTTTCCGGCAATTACAATGAAACTTCATCGATAGATACTACATAGTGCCCTAATAAAAACTCTAAAAGGGTTTGGGTGCAAATCGCTTCCTTCGAAAGTTATGGCCATTTTATTGAATTTTGAACCCATTCCTAGAGGTATTTATCGAAAAAATCAAATTATCGAATTTCAACCTGCAGTTTTGTCCATAGGTAGGTCTAATGATCCTTAGAATATTCTGAAAGTTTCAGCCAAAAAGAATGTTCCTTTCTTAAGAAATTGAATTTTCAAGTGAACTCGGTTTTTGTAACCTATCTGTGACAAGCGACTATTTTTTGAAAGCTCAATATCTCGAGAAAGGAATATTCTTTTTAGCTGAAACTTTCAGAAATTCTAAGAGTCATTAGACCAACCTATGGACAAAATTGCAGGTCGAAATTCGATAATTTGATTTTTTCGATAAATACCTAGGAGAATGGGTCCAAAATTCAGTAAAATGACCATAACTTTTGAAGGAAGCGATTTGCACTCAAACCGTTTTAGATTTTTTACTAGGGCACTATGTAATATCTATCGATGAAGTTTCATTGAAATCGCCAGGAAGCACCTGAAAAGGTTCCCTCGTTAGCGTAGAAGAAATCACTGTGACATAAACACACAAATTCTAGAAAAAGAATGCATGAAGATAAGACCGTATTTTGATCCATGAAAAATTGAATAGAAATAGAAGTTAATGTTAAATATCTTTAGATAAAATTTCTGATTATTCTTACCATCATATAATATTTGATAAATTTCTTTGGACGATTTGTATCAAAAATACAGTCAGTGTCTATACTATATATATAGAAAATTTCACATTTGAATTTTGAGTCAAAATAGAAGTGACCTATAAAAATTTGAAGTAGTCAACATTTGGCAAACAAAATTTTTGGATGATATTTTCAATGAAGTTAATTGTCTTTTCACAAATATTCTAAAACAACTCAATAGATATAAATAGAAAGAGGTAACCACGAGCTTTTTTTTTGTTTTTATTTAAATTAATTTGTCTATGAAGTAATGTGGTTTATTTTTCGACAGTCAACGGATTATTTTCATGTAAACTATCATTTTATTGCGATGATTATTTTTCTTATCAATTAGTAAAGTTGGAAGAGCATCAGATGCTGCACATCCTTCAGAAAGTGATCCCGTAAAATTAGTAAAATGTCTTTAGTGAAACTATAAACCGTCTGCTACCATACGTAGTCTGTGATGTTCTTCTCACTTTGTTATTTGATAAGAAAAATAATCATTAAAGTAAAATGATACGGAATTTACATGAAGGTTGTTTGCTGAATGTCGAAAAATAGTTACATTACTTCATAGACTAATTAATTTTCAAAAATAGCTCGTGTTATTGTTCTATTTATATCGATGAAGTTATGTTGGAGTAACTTTGAAAAGACAATAACTCCATCGAAAAGATCATCCAAAAATTTTGTTCACCAAAATTTGACTAACTCAAATTACTATAGATTCAATTCTACTATGACTCAACATTTAGAAGTGAAATTTTCTGTACGCATCGTGTATACACATTGACTATACTTTTGATATAAAGCATCCAAAAACAAATTTGTCTAGCATTATATATTCTAAGTTCAAACGATATATATCGTGTAGATCAAATAAATAATAGGTCGATTTCAGTCCATGGAAGTTGAAATATATGTAGTCATGAGCGGAATCAATTGTTTTTGGTTCTGGTTTCGCGCTTACGGTTAGTAATACATGTACTAGCAACAAAGGCAAAATCATTTTCTAACAGTGTCAATCCACTCGAGACATCATGCATGATCTATAATATCCTGACTTTGGAGCTTCATAACTTTTTTTGAATTCATTAACAGTTTGTCTCTTCTGCTCGTTTATGTATTCAGCAACTCTGTTGTTTATGAAAACAGGATCCATTCTCTCATATAATACTATGTACATTGTGGCGCAAAAGTCACTTTACCAGAAAAAAATTGAATATCTCCGTTACGGGTCGAGCAAACGAGCTGATTTTTTTATCAATGATAGATGACTGTTCAAACTTGATATCCATAAAGACATGCCTAGACAGACCCTTTGTTAAGTATCACCAGTGATCTCAACAAAAAAATTTACTTTTTCGCACATAGGAAGAAAAACAATATACTTAACAAAGGATCTGCCTAGGCATGTCTTTATGGATATCAAGCTTGAAGATTCCTCTATCAGTGATAAAAAAATCAGCTCGATTGCTCGACCCGTAATGAAGATATTCAATTTTTTCTTTCGATAAAGTGAGTTTTGCGCCACCCTGTAGTTTCTATTTGAAAAACATTGGGAGTATATAATTGTTATTGAAAATATTTTTTGATGTGATATAAATGAAAGAAGAGATGTTGTTTTTTGTTTTGTTTAGTTTTTTCCACGTTGGTTTGCACCGAATCTAATGACGTTACTTGGTTTTCTTCTTCTTGTTGTCAATTTTATTCTGTTTTCATATTATGATTTTTATTTTACTGAAGCACTTGTTCTTCCAAGATGGATTTGGCTTATAGCAGCTATATGTCAATTTTGTTCACATCAACTAGGTATGAAATGGTTGGATACAAAAAAGTCTTAAATCAGAGTGATTTTATAGATGGTATGGATGGAAAACAAGCTCGACGTACAAAGTCTAGTAGTGCATTGGGAGAATTATTTGATCATGGTGTTGATTCATGGGCTTGTTTTCTATTTCCTGTTTGTATTTTTTCTGCCATATCACAAGGTGAATATGGATTTAATCCCATATCTATGCATATGCTTCTTTGGACTATTTATATATCATTTATTGATTCACATTGGGAAAAATATAATACAAAAGTTTTATTTTTACCATGGTCTTATGATATATCTATGCTGGTAATAGATTTAATTTATTTTTTTTTTCTTTATATCTTCTACTTGAATAATTAGGTCATGACTATAACATATCTATTAGCATATATTTTTACACCAACTGTTTTCCGTTTTGATATTCCAATTATCAATGTTTCATTTGCAAAATTCGTTGAATATGTATGGCCAAGTAAGTTTTTTAAAATTGAGATCTTTGTGTTTATTTTATCTTTCTATCTGTTTTTCTTAGTATTTGCATTAAGTACATCATTACCGATTAGTATTAAACATATCCAAGCGTAAGTAATTGTATGGTATTATTAGACTTTTAATGAAACAAAACCTATAAATATTTATGAGTTATGTAAAGGAAGAACAATTTTCTTGTAATCCAAAACATTCTTGTAACGGATAGTAAAAAAAATTGTGCTTGATTTTGTATTCAGTATAGCGTGACAACAACTCATTATGGAGACTTGATAGTTTTCTTTGCAGCAAAAGCAATCTTTACAACGAAATAGTGTGAAAATATTTCGTTCAAAATACTCCTGATCAAAAACAAAAAGGCTGCTGACATTGAAACACGAAACGTTAATAGGCTTTTATTTGTCCGTAAATACAGTGTAGAGTCCATCGGGTTGGTCTCGGATCGGGATCCGATGGTTCTAGTCGTCTGAGAAACGTGTAGAGTGCGCTAGTCACTGAATCTAAAAAAATATTCAAAAGTGAAAATTGTAAATGAAGATTTTTGATAGAAAATGTATGACTGGATCCTTACTTTGAACTTTGGTTCGACAAATTTTTATTTTAAGACTTAACAAACGTCGTATCATTCGATGCAATGTTCCGTGTTAATTCAATAAATATCCTTATTTCACTCGTAAAGTACGTTTGAGATTAAAAAGAGAACGCAGAAAATCTTGAAAAAGCAATATTTTTTAGAAAGTCTGTATCTCAATCTAGAAGCATTTTTATATATTCATGCTAACTAACTAGACTTGTCAGATAGAGAAAAACTTTTAGAAAACCCTTAATTGAAAAATTATGCATACAGTTGCTAATAAGGAAACTATCAGAATAATGTTTTTCATATGAAAGTATAGAGCAAGAGCTCTAGGATTGATTTCTTAGATCTTGCTATTTTCTTTGGAAAGACATACTTTATCTCAGATGATTGAAACTTGACTATTTTTTGGGCCTATGGATTTACCAAGCTCTTGAAGAGCTAGAATAATTTTTTTAAATAACAAAGTTGGCCATTAGAGTTTATTCAAGTTGCAAACAAATATCATTTCTATGCTTTCGCCAAATCTTTTTCCCAATTAAAAGTGTTCACAACTAATACATCATTTTGAAATATAAGTCTTTTGTCCATCAACTGAAATTAATGCAGTGTCACATTTTATGTCCAATTAGAGTTTAGTAAGCTCTCTACGTAATTATAATATACAAAACAGAATAATAGACATGATGAAAAAAACATCATTGAATGTTTTAGATGGAAAATCAAGTTTACCATAAAACTATATCCTATGAAACCTGTTGTATAGTAAGTCGAATATTTTGAGATCACCAGAAAGCTCACATGGTGTTGGATCCATTCACACATAAGATGCCCTAAAAGCTCCAAAAGACGAGTTCAAGACAAATCGATCCAATGTGTTTCTCATCACTAATCTTGTTTGAAGCTGCAAAGAATTTTTTCTGTCGAAAATGTTCCTCAAACTTGTAAGCTTTCTCTAAGTATTTCAAACGCAATAGTATTATAGAGCTTTACAATAGAGACTTAACATGTACGACTCGGGACTATTGGATACAAATCTATCGGGACCAGAAATATATCAGATTCATTATGACTACGTTGGAGATTATTCAAAAAAAGCTAGCGTGACCGAGTCCAAGAACAATGGGTCGCGCCCACGTCTAGTAGAGACTCTAGTAAGAAAAATGTTGCGTCACTACAATGGATTGTTATCAAAATTAATGCAGAAATTTAACACCATCCGTTGTATTGATTTTGAAGTTTGATGCAGATCTGTATGACTTCAGTTATTAAGTTTTGTTATTACATATTAACTTATCATAATAGACCGATTAATAACTTAATGATAACACAAAATATATGAATAGTTGTTTGATAAAATATCTTCTTTTTAGATCATATCGTAATGGCACAGGTTACAATCGAACATTTTACGAAGCTGTTCGACCATTAATATCTCCTATTGCTCTATTTATTTCATCAACTTGGTGGGGACTTGCTTCACCTTATATGATAATGCATAAACAATCGCGAATATTTTTTTCAGCTGTTGGTGCAACTTTTTCAAATATTGCTGTATGTATATAAGGATAAGTTTTTTTTTTTTTAGTATTATTTTCTTTTTTAGTGTCGTCTTGTTGTTGCACAAATGACAACGACACGTTCAGATGGTTTTAATAACTTACTTTATATATTTGTTCCTATTCAACTTATGTCAGTATATGGTGCACTTACAGAAAGAATGGAATTTATACTTTTGTTTCTTTATAATATTTTTGTTATTTTGGCTCATTTACATTATGCTATTTGTGTGGTAAATTTATTTGATAATAAAATTCTTTGAATTCTATGAGATAAATTTTTTAGGTTCGACAAATATGTGACCATCTTGATATATATGCTTTTAAGATAACTGATTCCTCAAAACAACCACCACCAGCTGAAGCTCATATTAAGCATTCTTAACAAAATAAAAAAGATCTGGCTTTTTTTGTACACTCTTATATTATTATTCATGCTTACATGTGTATTGTGTGTTCTATCTTCATTCTCGTATGCTATCTCATTTATTAGTTAATATATAAAGATAAATTAAACTTTACACTAGGCTTTGTGCAATATATATCTCCGTTGTTTGTGTGTTTTTTTTTTGAAAATACAATTACTCTATATGTTTGTTTTGTTTGTTTATTTTATTTATATATAACATATAAGCATAAAGGCGATTGTTGATTGGTTTTTTTTTTGTTAGTCAAGATATATATACATGAGTATGCTTTTGTTTTTTGTCTGTTTAAACTTTTCATTAAAGAAATAGAAAGATCTAATATTTGAACAAAAGAGATCAATAGTGTTGTTTTTTGCTTGCAGTTTAAGTCTCTACTAATTTATTTCCGTTATTCTTCGATGACATTCATAGTTTGACATTCAATCGATATAAAAAATACTCATGGGTAATGGATATATAGCATAATATTCATGTTTACTTCATTTGCACGCTCACATGAAAAACAATACAACATATTTATTATGACTTTTCTTCTATTTCTTTTCGATTACATTGATTAACATCAGAAAGTTTATATTGATGGAATGTTTGTTGATGAGCGCTTATTCCTATAAAAATAATAAAGAATTAATATTGTTTTTTACATGGAATCAAAGAAAAAAACAAATGTCTTACGTATTTTTGATCAGTTTGTCGTTTACTGTTAAGAAAGTAACGCTTGGATTTTAAAAAATATCGTTTAGCATTTAAATGAAATTCATCTTCATCATTTGGACCATTGACATCATCACTGATGTATAGATTTGATTCATGCCGTGTTGGTAAAAATCGTCGTTTAGCCATATAACGAACAGATTCCGGTGCATTTGGATCATTATTCAATTGCTATTTATTTAATTAACAGATAAATTAAATTACATAAAACTATTTAACTTACAATGAAGTAATCAGCATCAATGGCATGTGTACCAATGAATAGAGCGAATATGAAAATAACACCAAGATAAAGTAGGATTTTCTCGATGGCGAGATGCATGATAACTAAAAGAAATGAGTTTTGTGGCAGTAAAAATCTATGCTATTGTTTTTATATAGCACCTACTTGCTATTTGTATTTTCTATTAAGAATATGTTTTTTTTTTCTATTTTTATTTAGTGAGAAAGGAAGTCAGTTGTCAATGGTCTGAGTAACTTTTTTGCATGAGCAGTATTGTTTTCTCTCCCCCTTTTTTTTCTTCCCCTTTTTCCCACTCACTATATTTCACTAACTTAATTGGTTACATTAACAGAACATCGACTATATATGTAGATGACCAAATGACAATCATGTGTAAGCAATTGAATCAATTTAAAACTAAGAAAATCAATTTAACTATGACTAACCCTATTTTTAATAAAATATATGATTAACAGACTAGTTTTCTATTTTCAGTTTCATGTTAAGTATTGGTTCTATTTATTTTTCTTGATCGTCATAGCGTAACTGATGTATCTCTGTGCACTACCGGAAATTTTTCTTTTTCTTCAACGCTAAACAGCGGAAATAAAAATAGAAAAGAATTTTCATTATCGATCTCTAGGTTTGTCATTCAATATATAACCGATGAAAAGTGGTATTAAGAGAAGAATTGTTGTGCTATCAACAAACATAGGTTTTTTTTTCTCATGGAATATGATTATATATTACAAAAGAAATGTTGTATATTATGAAAAATGATTTTAGAGGTTCGGTTAAATGTAATCAAATTGACGGATAAAATTAGATATCTATTTCCGTAAAAAATGTGTTATAGTAAGGAAAGAAATTACTCATTTATAAAAAAGTAGAAATGAAATTAATACTGAATTAATATAAATCATGCTATGTTTTTGTAATAATTATTTTTATGTTAGTTTAAATGAGCTTTGGCTCGTTGATTCTAAGAAAAAATAAGCTTAATGAATTTTCAAGTGAATATCTTGATAAATATATGAAAGGAAGATAAGTTTATTTTCGTGATTATTTATTGCGAATGATAGAAATATTTTAAATGTAAAAAAACTGTCTACTTTTTTTGAATCTCATGAAAGTATCATTATAAAATAATTCATTGCAATTTCATACACTCTAATTAATTCGACATGTGTCATTTATATCAAATGTCACTTCTTTTATGACTTCAAATCAAACACTAAACTCAGTTGTTTTTTAATATACTCCTGCATAGTTGAATTTACTCAATAATTTCAAAAAGAACATGTATTTCAGAAATTGATTACTTAATGGATGAAAAAGAAAAAAAAAAGTACCGGCCGCATTGACTTGATGGTGAAAATGATTTTTAAAAATACGTGGAATAGAAAATTATTGAGTTTAGACTTGCATAAAATATGAGAAACCATTTTAACATTACTGTTTACGAAAAAATGAAAATCTTTCAAAATATTCTACTTCTTAACATGTTATGTTTTTACTTAAATCGTTCTGTATAGAGACCACCAGGCTTTACTTCTTTTTTGACTTAACCGCTTAGACTTTGGAAAAATATTTTTATTGCTACATCCTCTATAAAAAAATTCCCAATTTTTTATTTATAATTCCCCAGGTGTTTTGTTTCTCAATTGTTTTTATGAACATTAATTCGTTCGGATGAATAATGCATTGAGCATTACAATTTTTGTTTATGTATTAAGTAGTCATCATTTACCATCATTGTTTCACTTAATGAGAAACGTAGGAGGCTGCTAGACATGTCTTATTAAAAATTCACATTATATATTATTTTCATTCGTAGAAGAAATTGTTTTCTGTTTCTAATAGAGTACTAGGCCAGTTGAGTTTTTCGAATTCGGATTGGATAATTTGACTCATTTTCTTATCAGAAAGAATTATTAAACAAAAACTAGTAGCTTTTATTAATGCTAAGTAGAATACCAGTAAGTAACGATAAGATTTCAGACACTTTAGTTTACATTAAAGTATCTAAAAACAATAGGCATATTTGATTTTCATAATGTCCTATTAATGTGCAACTCAAGTATATTTGATCGCTTATGGTTTGAGTCAGTGAATGCAACTATCTACGTTCTCCTTGGTCTAAAACAATAAAGCGCAAGATAATACTACTGACTGAAGCACTAGACCGTTATGACAATGGCAAAATATTATCAAAAAATGAAACAAAAAAAAATCAATTTCATTCTTTCGAATTTCACACAAAAAGACTATCAACAATGTTAAAATATAATCTTAATTATTATAGAAAAGAAAACATATCACCTCAAATACTTCTTCATAATAGCTCATGATATCATATTTAACAGACGAATAGACAAAAAAATATTATTATCAGATAATCATTGAAATCGATGTGTTAGAAAATAAAGAAATAATTAATTATCAAAAATCTATTTAAATAATAATATAACAGAAGTTCAAGAGTTTTTGAAAATATCCGAGTCTACCAAACAAATAACATTTCACCTCCGGCAATGATTCTGGTGCCTCATTTCGTGTATTTCCGAACAGGAAACTCCAAAGAATGGTAGAAAATCGGAACAGGAATACGATGATTGTCTTTAGTGATGGATATTGTTCATATACGAACGATTTCTGCCAAAATCAGAAAAATCTACTTAATAAATTCGTACATCAGTGTCCTTCTTTCAAGTTTCTACTATTCTTTTGGGTATATTCTGGCTGTAAACCATTGATTTAGATAATATCTGTAGTATCTTTTATTTTCAAAGAATTAAAGCATAGTTTTTATCGAATGCACAACGAATAGAGTGTTCGACATGGGTTATCTACTTAATAATTGGATTTGATCTATTCATAGGAATTTTTCTCAACGTATAATATTTTCAAAATCAAGTTGTAGTAAGCATAACTATTATAAGACGTGAATGTCTAACTCAAGTTATAGCAATACTGAGTTAAGTTCTTTTTGTCCTCCCAACGGTTATATATTTTAACTCATCAAGCGATTAATTATGTTTTAAAGTTGTATATAAGAAGAGTATAAATGGTTCGAGGAATTGGATTGAAAAAAGCTCATTTCTATTGATATTTTTCTTTACTAATGAAACTTGAAAAACTAAATAGAGCTAGAAAGATATCTATATATAAGTGTGAGTGTGACCACTCGATTATCGAACTGATTTGACTGATAAATTGAATTAATGTCGATTTGTACATATGTGGTTGCTACAAAAATATATTCTCTATTAGATTTAATATCGGTTGTGCTCTCTATTGAACTTGTCACTTGACATGACCTTATTCGAGAGACACTTAACTTTGATCAAGTTGCTTATTTTGATGAAAATTATAAGCTCATAATGGTAGATGCTTGGAGCAAAACTACAGAACAAACAATAATATGTTCCCACTTATTATTGTTATAGATTCTACAATAAAATGCTTTCCTTTCGTTAGCCTACACTATACCATTCTATTAGTCCATATTCGAGTGACTAACCATTGTGATAGAGTACTAATCGATGTATTTCACATGAGCAAGTCTAGACGTTTTCGATTTCTAGGTAAAGAATCATTTTTTGTTAATGAAATTTGCAACTTAAAGAAGTATCTGTATTATTTTCCAACTCGATTAGCAACTCCATATGCTAACTCACCAGCTTTATGTTGTGATTCAATTCAGACCGAACAGATGATAACTGTAATTGTATTTGGCGACATGAAAACATCGTTGAAAAAATTTATTTTGCATGTTAGCCAGATACTACTGATTCAAACCAGGTTTTCATATCAAGAGAATACATTTCGTATATAATTAACAATGATCATCAATCGAGCTTATCACACATTCAAATGAAGATTAAGAAACAATTTAACATGATATATTGGAATGCATAAGCAAAGCATGTTAATAAACGAATCTGTTGCAGTAGAAACACTCGTGATCTAAAGAAGCAATGCTGAAATGATGCTATCTGTCAAGATAAGAATGGTTTGAGAATAGAAATAGATGATTTCAGTAATATTCACACAGTATGTTTAACTGAAATGAAATATTTTTCAGGAAGAAAAGTACAACTATCCACAGAGAACTTTTCAGAAGATGTGTACGATCTTCATGTCTTTCTAGTATCCATTTCTATGAAAAAATGAGTCACGATGGAATTTATTGATTGATAATTGAGAGGAATATTTATAGATATACTAAAGTTCATCTGGCGTCAGCAACTTTAATCATATTATTAAGATGAACGATGATGATGTTTCTCTAAGAGTTCGTCATGGTGAAAATGCTCGCTTTTGTTACTTACTGTTTGTCAAACAAGTAGAATTAATTGTTGAAGTGCTCACTATCTTTGTTATCATATTCAAAGCCACATTTCTTGAGTGATCTACAAAATCGAAAAATACCTGATAGACGAAAATAAAATACACACCTAAGTTTAGATATGAAAAACTATGTAGGAAGCTGAAAATAATGAAAATAACTTCAAGCGACAATAATTATAAAACTTAGCATTGATTATAAAGACAAATGGCACATCTAGTTTTAATCTATTTATACTGGGGTTTCGTGAAAAAGACTTTTAGCAAAGTATATCATGAAGGAGTACGTTTCGTTGGAGAAAATATCATGGATTTTTCTGTTGCTTAAAGTGATGAACAATTCATATTATGAATAAAATATTAATAGTTCTTCTTCAAAAGCTTTTCTATACTTGGATTTCATAAAACGAAAACACAATCGGTAAAAAAAAACTTGTTAGCGCAAACTATTTGTGACTGAAATATGGAACTTATATATCTTCATTAGCTTAATTATACTAATACAAAATACTCACAGTGAAAAACCTCTGAAAGAAGACAGTTCTTGTCTAATCATGACCAATGGCCAGAAAAAGCTGTCTTTTTTATTTTTACATTTCTACATGGAATTTTTTATTTTAGTTTTCATTGGTTCTATTTTCTCGTGATTTTTTAAAACTGTAACATTTTGATTATTATAAGCATTGAAATAAATGGCAAATAGTGTTGTTATAAATCAGCATTATTTAATCCTGATTGCTCAAACTTAT